TTCCGAGCTACGAACGTTTGCTGCTGCTACTGTTGTTAGGTCATGTGATACACTGTTCCCGTTGCATCAGTCCTCGGCATCAACTCCTACTGGAAGCCCTGGAGAGAGGTGGACAAAAGAGCCCCACACTTTTCGGGAGTGTTGTTATTCAGTTAAAATTCTGCAACTGCTTTGTGTCTAAATTTTGGCATTTGTGTTTTCATGGCTTTGTTCGCAAGCTGCTTTTACACACACTTGGAGTTTCATTTCAGTTGGTTGAAAGATTTATGAGTTGTGTGAAGCTCCACGGTTATGCCATGCAATTCCTAACTGGGCCACAGAGGATAGGATATGAAAGCCACCATAACAATCGGATATGAGGAAAGGCCAATTTTTTACGACTTTACTACTCACGTGACGCCGCCCCAGTACGAATAACTCCGTCCTATGTTGGTCCTTCAGACTCGAGCCACTGAGAAAAATCCTCGCTTACCCACCAGCACTGCTACAGCGATGCGTCACGGATACCAAGCTTGACAGAACAGGGGCGACGCCTGTGTGTAGCATGAAAGCATTTGTCAGTCAATGCAACACTCCGGGATGTCTGACTCCTGTTCTTGCGCGAGGGGCATAAGGCTCTAGCGGACCGACGCTTGTGCACTTGCATTATTTGCATGCGAGGAATTCTAAAGTGTGATGAACTGTCTTGGTGAGTGGGCTTAAGTGATAAAGTTACAAACCAAACAACCGGTCGAATGTGCGGTATCGTTTTCCTATTCATATTGGGTTGAGAAAAAACACGCTACAAGAAACTTCGTTACACGCATTCAAATCACACAGTGATGACAGTATTAGCACACTGTGTTGATGAATCATTCGCGTTCTTCAGAGTATGAGCAGGACGTCGGCCTTACGAGAGGGTATAGTTCTGTTCACTCTTTGCTGTTAAACGATCCTGGTACACATATCCGGCTGAGGAAGATCGATTTTCCAAACAGCTGACACTTTTTGTTTTGATTACAAGGATACACATGTAGTTCGTGGAATCAGTTTGTCCCCATCTACACGGTCTTTGAATTTTTCACAGCCAACTTCTGAACCGTTTATTTACTTGTCTCTCGCCTGATGGGTAACTCACGCCCTTGGGGTCACACTTTCGGTGCATCAGCCTTCTGCCGAATAAATCGGACGAATTTGGATTTTCGCGATAAGTCCGTTTTGATTTATGTGTCAACAGCTGTTTACATTTCCATAAATTAGGAATAGGAAACGAGTCAGCTTTGGCGGAGCAGTCAACTGTACCACAAATACATATCAATTAGATGAGAGATCACCTGGAGCCTACCTGAATCCCCCGTTTATCATGTTCTTATGTCCAGTTGACTGAGTTCTAGCCTAGGTTTTGCTCAGCAGTTCCAGGCAGTTGAAAGATTATGCACGTACTCTGTATGAACTCTTTAGGCATTTTCAGAGTCAGTTTAGTTTCTCACTCCGGTCAAACTAATCTGGTGTGAGTAATCAGTGTACTTCTTTCCCATCAGTGCTAATTTTAACACGGAACCCGTCTAGAACTAAGTGAGCATGATCATGGGCGAATCTTACAAAAAAACGAGAACTTACAACACTCGACAAACAAACTCCGCATTACAAGTAGGAAGGATTTGTGGACGAGTTAATTCCATACTGATTAAGTGAAGACTAACAGATGCAACATATCTGTCCAGTGCATCCGAGATCGAACAGTGCAAAACGTTGGTCGGCTGGAATTTCTCATTTTCAAACATATTTGCTTCAAAGAATTGAACCTACAAGTACGAGATGAGTGCTTTGAATGATGGTTGCCTCCAAGAGACGCAGCAGAAATGTGAATCTGCAGTAACTTACGAACATTTTCACAATGTTTTGTCGCTTCCAAATGTAGATTTATCTGCGAATAATTTTCTAATTGACGTGATGGACAGAGATTACCTCCGTTGATGTGGGTGATATTGATCTCTCCGTCAAGGCTGAAAATAGGCTTCAGCCAGAAGAAATTGAAGTACCAGAGTGTCATGGTGAAAAGGTCGAGTGCATGACACTGCGTTCTTCTTACACAGATAGCTGGTTAGCCTTAAGCTCTTTTCAAATCAATTAGATGGGCAGTATCGTTCGCACAAACGGTTATTATCCTCAGGACATCTTTTGAATTCGTTTAAAGTTTACTTCTGTGGACAGATTTTTCCTAAATGCACTTGGAAGCTTTCGTATTGGTTTACCGATGACTTTGAGAAAAAAAGTTGAGTGTATTCATTTGTGTTTCCATCCCTCCAGCTTATGACTTGACCTCTACACCGGATTTCCGCACCTAAACAGAGTTTTTGGCACTTGGCACGGTTTGTTTTACCACTGTTCCATTCACAGCCACTACTCATTTGATTTGCTGTTAGATAAAAAAAAACGACCGCATAGGCAAACAGTGTGAAGATTCTGCCTCCATGGACTCCCCCTAAAACTCATCACCTTGTATTGTGTTCGATAATGCTGTGTATTTGAGCTGGAATTGTACAACCTGCCTGGAATTTTCTTTGAATTTCGCCGTGATCTTACTGCTGACCGAAAGCATGTTACAAATGCACCTACACGAATGAACTATACGTATTTTTTGGATGATGCCCCAGGTTCGTCAGACCCAGACCTCTCGCAGCTGATCCTTACTCTTTCGTGCTACTGCGTGACCACTGAACGACAAATTTCTGTGACGGAGTGGACCTTATTTGTCACCAGGGCAGACTGGCTACTAACTTTCATTCTCCCAACTGGTGTATGAATTGTCGGTTGTGTAGAGTAACTGCCATCCACTGATCGATAAGGCGTGCCCGTGTCAGTTTCACCACAAATCCTTGAAGTTGATATATATCTTCTGTCAGAAGATGTGAAAATTTGAGCTTCAACTCGGACTGATCTACTGTAAAGAATTGTATTAGAATATATGACGCCCCTGGATGGACTCTGTGGTAAATAGTTGAGTTGAAAGCTGTCGGGCAGTATGAACCTGTCTTGAAAGTACTGTTCAGGGTGACCGTATGGAAGACATCTGCATCTTTTCTGTTGAAACAAGACATATAGTTTTACGTACTTTATAAGGTGCCGAGCCAAAAATAGGATGTGCAATAATGACTGGCGATGGAACAGTTTTCACTTCAACATCTACTGTAGGAGGAATTGCGTGCAAAAACATAGTTATTCAGTTGTAACAACCCTCTAACGCCTAGCTGAGATGCCACCTTGAGGAACCGGAAGGGAGTGATACTGCCAGGTTGACAAAGCATAGAGAGAAATAGATGACATGTTGAGATTGGGTTCTAACCATGTATGTTCCTACCAGTGAAAGAAAGAAGGCCATCACTGCGGAGTTATTTATTCGGAAATGCCAGTTCGGAAATCCCGGTTACAGACCATTGAACAAGGAAGCAAAACTCTAATCTGCATCTTAGTTACAAAACCTGGACACAGATCTTCTCCCGAACGAGTCTTCCTGGGGATTCATTGCCTCCAATCATTCGTCGGTCAAATAAAAGCAAATGTTACAAAGTGGCCCCGCGAATTCCGCAACAGAATTCTATTTTCCAATCGACGCAAAGCGAAATTCTACGAACAACACATACTACTCGCGTGCCTCCCGATCAGTAGTATCACCGGTACTGTAGTAGTATAGTTGTGTGCTGTTTAACACTAAGCTTGTGTTTATAGTGTTTCATATTTGTCTTACGTACCATTGGTAACTTAAATCGTGATGTTTGGGGACCCATTTTGCTATTCTAATCCTCCCCCCCCCAAACTATCCGTGAACGAAACTGCGGCAGCTACAACCACAGTACGACGAGTACGCGGTTATTACAGCTGACAATGATGATGATGATGAATTCGTCTAATACTCCCAGCCGACCAGTAGTACTTGATTTCACTGTCTACATATCTTCAAACTCTGCACCACTAACTAAGTTCATATCTTTTTTCCCAATCTAATCTCTGCATTCTTTCTGAAGTGTGTTCATCTGCCGCAATTGTATTGTCATTTCTGTATGTGGTGATTCTCTCTGCCCCCTCCACTTTTGTTCAGCCTCTTGCTGCATTCGATCTACCTAACCCTTCGCATTTGCTTTTGGGCTGATCTGTCATCTATTCGTCCGCGAGACTATTTATCCCTCGGCGTGTTCTTTGCTGGGCTCAGTTGGTGTCCGCTTCTAATGGTGTTGAACGAACTAGTTGCCTGGAAAGAACGGCGGTATGTGCTTCCCACCACCACTTGTCTAGTGTATGATTTTTCATCGGTAACTGATATGCTGCCCTACTCGAATTGATGAAGGCTCAGTATTGATATCAAGCGCATGAGGACCAACCAAAACCTAGCCGATGAAACATAACTGATTCTCTCTTTCATTTTAGAACGCCATTCGAAATGTGTTTGTATTAACACTAGTGCTAGCAGTTTTCTTAATTTTTTTATTTCACATATCAATGTTAACTCAAGTAATTATCTTTGGTTTCACGGAGAGTATCTACTGTGTGGGGATTAGTCGGCTCTAACAAATTCCATGATGCTACCATCCACTAGCGGCGCCGTATCTTTGTTCCTATCGACGGAGCCCCATAGACAGTGTAGGCCCTAGCTACTAACAGTGATCTTCACAGTTGCTTTCAATTGCGCTTCATCCGATAGCGTCATCCTGAACTTGGCCATGGAATCAGTGGCACCTTTCACAATTCACTGTCAAGATTACGCAGAACATGGACGATCCACTGTAAGCCCGTCATTAAATGAATTCATCAAAGCGAAGGATTTTCCGACATCTTGGCATTACACACTACGTATAAGGTTGGTAAAATTCCCTGGAAAAGCCACTACCGGTTTCGAATTTTGGTTCCCATCGTGTGAGTGTAATCTCAGAAACCCCATGAATTTGTGTTCCATTTAAACGCCGGATCGGGTGGAGTACAGTCGTTTTAAATTTACTTTGATGTAAACGGTAGACTCAGCTCACTTCCAGTTCATAATATTCTTCATATTCATGTGATACACAAAAGTCGTCTCGTGTCTCAGTAGGACATGAAGTTGATGGAACTACACCAACTTGTTGAGCCCGAAGAAGGGCAGAGTCGGTCGTTGGCTGTCGAAAGGTTTTTAGCAACCGTGTGAGTAGTTTGTTGTGACAAGACAACATACTTCGATGTCTCGAATATTGTGTCAACAGAAATATGAGGCTAGTCATGTACTTCATATTCGGTTGAAAAAAAATCATAAATGAGAAGTACATTCGAGTCTCGCGTGAACACTGGCCGACGTCGTTTATAGGTCTTTGATCAGTCCGTAGGGGACTTCATGATAGGGTTGGTTTCTAAGCATCCCTGCAGGGCACTATTCAATCACAGAGAGCCATACCAAGCAAGTCAGTTGTATGCATAGAATGGACAATGGCGTGAATGCTGAATCATTCATACAACATACAAATACGGTGACCTAATACGGCCTAATCGAAGCAGAATCATTCCTGAGTACGATCAGATTGGGGCTTCTTTGAAGGAAGTAATTTCGTGCCATCAATACGCTGCGTTCCGCGGGGTCATTAAAACAGTGACTTTACACAATCCTTGAAACGTTAATCATTATGGAGCTGTCATGAACTACTTCCTTAATAACCCACATTTCTGGACAAAGCTTAAACTAATCTAGTTAAAGTTAAGGTTGTGGGATACCTTACTTTTGATTGAGATTTCATCCTTAAAGTGGAGCCAGTCTATGCTGAAAAGCTGAGTAGTACTGTACAACCCTTTCACCTTACTGGGAATTTTCAGCAGCGTGTAGCTCGATAAACTCCATGGAGTTTCGAACCCGCGGTCTTCCGCTTTTAGTTTGAACACTCGTCCTGTAAGTGAAGCCAATCTATGTCGAAAGGCACTGCGACTATTTCATCCTTAGCCGTTTAGCCACGAGCGACTGATCACCACTCTAATCGATTCGTACTGAGGAGAATATCCCATTTCCATTTTCAAACAAAGATGTGGAAAGCCACATACTGCAGCTGGTTCAAGAAATTCTGCTGAAAAAAAAATCCGAAATTGACTCTTTCACTCGCCGTCCTGGTAAAACTAAATCTTTTTCGTGATTTCAAAAGAGTGTCTCGTGCGTATCGAATCGCATCTCAAGGTAGTCATCTCTATATCATGCTGCAGTGTTTTGTGAACAATTTTATAAGATCGCCAACTGTAGGATGTGTATGATTCATACATTACCCTGTAGATTCTTACTCTGGAACCCTATATTCAATTATCAAAAATACCCAGTAAATACTCCTTGGTAAATACTCCATCTGCTCCATTCGACCGAAATCACTATAATGCAACTCCGCAAGCAGAATTTATGTACCCGCATCCTCTGCGTATGCATCGCCACTTCCTACAAGCGGTAAATTCTGGCGGTTTTCACGGGTGATATACTGTGCACGCCAAGTATAAATGAGTTCTGATCAGTAGTCTTGTTTTTTGTCTATATCCAAAGTCACTGTAATGAGAACATAATGCGTCGGAGAACAAACACGAAAGTTGGCGTTGTCAAGACGGACACTCACCCGGGCATACGTAAAATTCCGTCTTCACGGCTGCCAGCTGTTCGGTGAGTTGGTTCACCCTGGTCTGCAGTTCCTGCACTGATGCAGCATCCCTGTTCTCCTACGACTGCAACGTGGCCAGTGGTTCCTCGGGCAGCTCCCATGCCAGACGCACCAGCTCCTCCACAAGCAACTGGCAAGTTGCTCGTGCCAACTGCAACTGGGCACCAAGCGCGGGTTGCACACCTTCGACGAACTGATCCGACAGCAACTGGTGTCGCGACACTCCGTCCAGCGTCGGCAAAGCGTGATCCAACAACTGCTGCAGGCCGGCGAAGAACACGGCCGGGTCCGATCCGGGTGCCATCCTGGCCGTCTTGAACCGCCTCATAGCCTCCTGGCGGTCGGCCGGAGCGTCGAACTCCGCTTCAAGGACTTCCTTCGCGGCGACCCAGTCCAACTTCCGAAGGCCTCTTCTGGCCGCATCCAGGGCCGCCTTCGCCCGGCCCTTGAGGAGGGTCTTCAGCGCTGCCAACTCACCCCGGCCGGTCTCCAGCCCCGCAGCATCAGCCACCTCCTCCAGGCCCTCCAGGAAGGTCCGAACATCCCCATCCTCAAAAGGTTGCGGCCACGGGATCTTCATCCTTATCCTGGTCACGGCACCAAATGAAGGGAGGAAGACCTTCGCTGCGGAGTTATTTATTCGGAAATGCCAGTTCGGAAATGCCGGTTACAGACCATTGAACAAGGAAGCAAAACTCTAATCTGCATCTTAGTTACAAAACCTGGACACAGATCTTCTCCCGAACGAGTCTTCCTGGGGATTCATTGCCTCCAATCATTCGTCGGTCAAATAAAAGCAAATGTTACAAAGTGGCCCCGCGAATTCCGCAACAGAACTCCGTTTTTCAATCGACGCAAAGCGAAATTCTACGAACAACACATACTACTCGCGTGCCTCCCGATCAGTAGTATCACCCTTACACCAGTATGTTGGAAGAAATGCTTGACATGAATTCATTCGCTCATGACAATTTGGATTTTCCCGCTTTGAAATCCCTTAATAGTCCACTTCTTGTTATACGGTGAAGGCTGTCAGCTGACTGGAGCTCTCGGTATTTAAACAAACATGGTTACACTATCCTGGCCAAAATCGCTCTTCTGATCCGCAAGATATGGGACCCCAAATGAGCGAAAACTGATATTTCCTGTAAAGCAGAAACGTTAGGATGGTTCGGAGTGCTCGTAAGCAAAAAAGGGATGAACGGCTCATTTTCTAAACACGACGTGTTCCGATCACACTGTGAGGTATCCTTCCACTCTAAATACGAGACTCCTCTCCAATAGTTCCGGCTACCTGGCACGCACTCGCGTTGGCAGTCACAAATGTGGTCTCTTAACTAAACTCCAACCGAGTGTTATCTAGTTCGCAATTCGCAGGAGATTCGTTCAACGCCCAATAAGGGGAAATTCCTAAGAAGAACGAAACTCATACAGCATTCTTCACAAGTTGCAACATAATTTGGCTGACAGAATGAATATTTAGTCAAAATTCCAGGAATCTTGTGAGTTTTGTGTCCTTCTCACCACAGATGAATTTTAACCTCCGTAAAATTTGTACACTACGTACTTGGTGAGTGATCAGTGCACTGAATGTATTTTTAAAATGGTGATACTTTCATGTAATTTTTATTTCAACGCGGTGTCTTTTGTCTATCATTGATTTGCACGAATTTCACCCCGAACCGAATAGACCCTCTCCTACCAGGAAACACTGCATGATACTCTGATGAAGCGTATCACACATGGCGAAGTAAAACCAAGGAATTAAACCAAACTGTAATGACCACAACAGTACATAGCAACTTTTCTTGGTCTATTCCGTTGTCCCTTCATGTGTTGGAGAAAAATCGTGGTTTATATACCATCCATGCATATATCAAATAAATATCAGATATTTTCTGTTACAAAGTATAGAATAAAAGCAAACAAATTCGCAACTTTCAAGAAACAACTTGGAACTGGCTTTCCGTGCCAAAAATCGAGTATCACACGATTGTCTTCGGCCTGGTTTTTATATGCTCCGCGAGTTTTGGTTGCAGTGCCAAAACACGTTCTCGGTGAGCAACAAATATTGCATAATTTTCCTTGAGAAATCCTGGATAAACGGCTTCAACCTGATCAAGTGTGCACAAAAGTGCGATGTCTCCCAGCGAAACTTTTCCACCTGCTACCAACTCGGAGGGGTTTGATTTCAGTGTCTCCGACATGAGCTGAAAATGAGATGAGCAGTTTATTAATTTGATGCTATACAAGACACCAGTCTCTTCCATGTCGGAAGACTTAGTTTCAGAAAACGCTAAATCGTGTTTCATTTGATTGTATTGTCTGCAAAGAATAACTTTTCAGGCCTCGTTAAAAATGATAATTGACCATCACTTCTCATCCCAATTCATACGAAAATCGACCCATCGCAGCTTTTCGCCTCAAAGACTTCAGTAAACGTGAAATTATGTTGGAATTACTTCGCAGGTTACTGAGAAGTAGGACGTCGTTAGTTTCTCTTGAGAACCTCCCTGACTTGTCTGAGATTCCCTTTTCGCAGCTTTTCTAAATTAAGTTTGACTACCCGAAATTTACCTCTACTAAGCGAACCTGTGAACATCAAATCATCATCATCATCATCATCATCATCATCATCATCATCATCAACGACGGCATGACATCAGTGTTCAACACCAATGCTTCACTGCCGTACAGCCATGACTTATTTGAAAGCCTTATTGTAAAGAAAAGAATAAAGGTGGATGGGGGAGGGACTTAGTGCTAGCT